GAGAGTTCCCAGGTGCTGCTATAAACGCCTGACGAATCTTGTATCTATCCTTCCCTAAAGCAGGTTGATTCTAAAAGTCAAAGATAAGAATGAAGTTGGAAATCAACGAGTCAATAGAGCAAACTTCACACAACGCATCAATTGCATGAAAAGCCTCCTGTTTGTTAGGGTGCAAAGTCACTCTTGGATGTATTTGTGCTTTACTCTAGATTTATTTACTCCTTGTGTTCTTGAGTTTACATGATGATTCACTAGATCTTTTCTTATTCCGCACATGCCATCATAATCAACACCACTACAATTGGTATGAGAGCGGGTGTTCTTGATTTGATCAAAAATTGATCCATGGTGGCTTTCTAGATTTGGTGATTCTTCGTTTTTGATCTTTGATCTTTGTGTTTTAGAGAGTTTTTGGATTCTAGAAATCGAATTCATCTTTGATTCTATTCAAAATTCGATTTTCTTCACTAGAATTCAAGTGATTTTTACTTTCTCTCTCTAGAAAACTCATTCAAAATCACTTTCTCTCTCTAGAAATCTTCAAGTTTTTGTGATCATGGTACGTTTGGAATATGATTCTTGGGTTGTAATCGTTGAAGGTGTGAAATACAAGGTCAACAAATTTGAATTTTATGGGTTATTGTTAAGTGGGTTGATTTCATTGGATTCTATGGTTTCTTATGGAGGTTTGAACTATGTTCGTGGAAGATTAGTATTTCAACCACTTTCAAAGATTGAATGCTTGTATGATCTTTTCATTATCATGTTATTTCGTAGTGATAACCGAAAAGAAGGAGAAGAAAGAGATTTGTTTAATAAAAGATACATTTCTCTTGTTGAAAACCCAAGTGATCTTCATGCTCTTAAGTTTGTTGAAGATGTTCTTGATGATGATCATCATGTTCTTGATGTTCAAGAAAAAGGAGTTCAAGTTGATTCTCAAGATGAAAAAGTTTTATGCTCGATTAGAGTTCAAACCGATGATATTTTGTGTTCTTGTGATTCGTTTGAAGGAATGATTCGTTATCGGAAGCCGATGATCCAAGAAATTCACAAGTATCAAACTCCAAAAGATTTGGTTCAAATTCACAATGTTGATGTTGTGGAAAGTGGGTTTGTTCATGAAATCAAGTCTTCAAGAAGCAAAAAGATGAGAAAGAGAAAGAAGAAGAAAATTAAACGGAAGAACAAGCGGGTTTATTCACAAAAATCGTCAAATGTTGTTGTGAATCCGAAATCCGTGAAGCAAATTTGGGTTCCAAAGCAACAATCTCCAAAGGTTGCAATGAATTTGAAGTCAAAACCCAAATGTGTTGGTGGTTCTTATGAAGATGTTCTTGGTTTGATGAAGAACACGAAGAACGAGTTGTACAACACGTATCGTGGGTGGTACAATGTTCAAATTGGAGATTTTCTCGTTCCGACAAAAGAACCAAGATCTTCTAAATTTGATTCGTTCGCTGCAAATGGATCTCGATTCGTCAAAAAGGTATCTCAAATTCTCAAATGGATTCCAAAACGTCCATGATTTCGATTCATGATTTACGTTTTTCATTTTTGATCGACTTGCTTCATTGGATCATATCTGTTTCAACCTCGTTGATTGATCCAATTATTTTTGTTTAGATCATTCCGAACCAAATCTTTACTGTTCATCTTTTTATAAACATTCGAATACTGTTCATCTTGAGCCCAATTCATTCCGTTCCAATTTTTAGCCTAATTTGTATTTATCGGTTGTCACAAACGAAATGTGAGCCCAAGATCAATTAGATTCATTCCGCTTATTCAAGTTTTAGTCTTCAACCATTGAAGTCGATTGTTCAACCATTGAAGTCGATTGTTTTCTCACATCACAATTCACGCATATCGTATCTTGTATCTTGCGTCTAGCATCTGATTATCTTTGATATATAAATGGATAAATTGGTTAAGTGTCCATTTTTAGCATCTGAAGTTTCGATTTGTCAATTGATTCCTTCACTTGGATCGATTTGGAAGAAAGTCTGAGTATAAAACTTGTGTTCTTATGATTGAATTGTTTAAGAACAGGCCATATTCAACGGATGAAGATAGGGATAATTATCGTTCAATCATGGATTTGATATGAAATTGTACAGAGAATTGTTAAATTCGTGTTTGATTGGACTTTCGCTAATGGAGAATGGGAAGAAGACAAACGGCGATTTTGAATTAAGTTTTTCAAGTTCTGATTTCGATATGGGTTTGGATTGTCGGAGGTCTATTGATGGAACTGGAAATCGAAAGCTTGTATTGTGAATAATTGATGCCAAGAGGATGAAGAAATCGTTGATGTGTTTCAAATCGATTGGCTGGAAGGATTGTTGATTAGACGATTTCAAATTTTGTGGAAGGTTGTTCGAATCGAAATGAAAGTCAAGGATTTTGATTTTCGTGTCAAAGATTATCGGAAGTCAAATCGAAAGGTCAAAGATGGAGGTCAAAATAAGTGTTGTTGGGAAGTCAAAACGAAAACTGATTGAGAAAGCATGGATTTTCGATCTGATTTTTTTTTAATGGAGATTGTGTATTTCGAATTTTATTTGGGATGAATGAAGAAGAATTTTGATAATAGCGAAGAATTGGATTACGAAGTTTTTGAGATTTCAATTTTCGTTATGAAGATTTAATTGACGAACAGTGAATATGTTTGCATCGGGACTATTTGGGAAGAAGATGTTCAGATTTTCAATTTGGGTCCCTGCTGTTTTAACGACTTTATAATATCTAACCAGTTTTAACATTAAGGGTTGATTTTGTTACTTTTGTGAAGTGGGATGAAGTTGCTCATTTAGCCCCTGCAGTTTCGAATTGTTGGCAACAAATACCCAACTTCGAAATTGGGCTTATTATCTGAGAAAATGAAGATTTTACAGTTCTGGTGCCTGCAGTTTGTGCGAATTTACATTTTATGCCCAGTTTCGCAAATGGGATAGAGTTTCGCATATTAGGCTGTTTTTGGCACAATGGGTCCCTGCAGAATTCTGTTATTGACAGTTTTTACCCTGATTTTGGAAAATCTTGCAACTTTCACCCAAAAAGTCGAAAATTTTCATAAATTGGAAATTTTTTCGAGGCTTTTTCGTGATTGTTTTTCCGTGCAAGATTTTTGGTGATTCATTTTTGGTACACATCAAGGGGG